GAGACACAAGGATTGCTTTGAACCCCGCCGACCGCGCCGTGGCGTACATGAGCGTTGGCTTCCTCTTCGGCTTGGCACAGGCGCTGCCTCGCGTCGACTTTCAGGTTCATGAGTACTTCCAGGAAGGTTTAGGGTTCAGGGTTCAGGGTTTAGGGTTTAGGGTGTAGGGGTTTAGGGTTTAGGAGAGGTAAAAGTCGGGAAACTGTGTTGAGACGCACCACTGTTCGGGGGCCTGGGGTCGTGATTTCCAGATGGGTGTCCGAAAAATGAGGGATGCCGATGTTCGGGTGCTGAGAACATGGGTTTTTGTGGGACGCGCAGATTGGGTTCTAGGCGTGCTGAAGCAAGAGCCACAGTAGCTCCTGGATGGCAGAGGACCTGCCCTGATACGCCCACAGCCCACATTCACAAGATTCGATGGGAGGTACACCCGATTTCCTTGTCCCACATGCGTGATCGTGTGTTTTTAGGGGGGATGCATACCCTAAACCCTAAACCCTAAACCCTAAACCCTAAGCCCGAAACCCGAAACCCTAAACCCTAAACCCTAAGCCCGAAACCCTAAAACCTTGCAGGGCTTCTGCGGAGCCACGATCTACCTTTTTGCTGCGGAGCTTTTCCCAGCGAGGCCGGGAATGAGGTGCTCTTTACAGGAAAGATTTGGGATGTTCCCCCTTTTCTAACAGTCCTTAATAGGGATTATGGTACCCCCTATTATAGTCCCTCTAAGGACTGTTCCTAAAAATGGCTTCCCCATGCTGGTCTTGCAGGGGATTGGGGGGCTGGATCCACCTCTTCAGTGCTCCTTTGTAAGCCCGTGCCCTAAGATTAAAACGCTGCTAATATCTCATAGTTTCCGCGCCACTCTTTTTACTACTCGAAGGTTCCGGAGAGCTTTGGGAGGCCTTGAGACGACTTGGAAGTTTGGGACTTGGATGCTGTCCACAGAGCACTACCCCCAAGTCCTTCCCGGGACCTCTGTCAGGGACCTCTGTTACCCGACTCGTACCTGGTTCGAAGCTTCCCTGATAAATCCCTTGGTAGCCCAGTGGTACCCTTTTCACTTTTTTGTGGCTCAAGGCTCCCTTACAAAGTAAACAACCCCCCAAAAAAGGGTGTCCTTGTTATAACCTCATTACTGGGCTACCAAGATCGAGAACCACGAACGTGAAGCCCAGAACCCCTAATTCCGTACCCCGGAGGCTCCGCGCTCAGGGTATGTCCATGAGCTACAACATCTGCCTCAGCTTCATTGGGGGCTTTTCTGCTAGCATCTCTCAGTCCCTGTGGCTGGGCTTTCGAAGTTTTACGGCTAGGGTCTAGGGTTTTGGGCCTTGGAAAACCGCAGCCCGATTCAGGAACAGAGGGATGGAAGTTTGGGGTAAGGATCAGCAACTTTGCTGGGGCAGCTTCCGAAGTTTGTCCTTACACATCTGAGTAGCGGCCCCTACATGGCAAGCTTGCAGCCCTTGAAAGCCCAGGCACACTCTCTCCCCTCTCTATGCCCCGGGTATTTACTGGGCCGCTACAGGTGCAGTCAGCACCTTGGATTGACCAGCACGCGGCTTCTGGGGTGTCGGTCGAACACTGTAGGGTTACTTTCTGCAGGTGCTACAGAACCCATGAGGGGGTTTCCGAAATTAAGGTACCCTATTGGGGTCCGCTTTGAAAGGGGATCCTACTACTGGGGGGTCTTTTTTAGGGGTCCCCTGTTTTCGTAAACCCTCATGCGAATAAGTCCTGCTTCTCCCCATGGACACCTTTCAGCAACTTTGCCGAGGCATAGCAAGCGTCCTCCTGGGCGTTGGGCTGCAGCAGAGGGGACTCATCAAGCTGGGCCACAAGAGGACCTTGTAGTAAGTTGCCACTTTGGCATCGGCAACCCGCAACCCAGGGCTCGCCGCTTGGGGTTTAGGGTTCAGGGTTCAGGGTTTCGGGTTTGGCCTGACCTCTATTCCCTTCTTGGGCAGTATTTCAGACCCTGACATCTGTTCCCCACTGTCTTCTCTCCTCGCACTATAGCACGTCCTTTTGGATATGCGGACATCGCACGAGGATGGATGAGGCTTCCTAACGATAAGAGAGTTGCTGGTATGATTTTCGGGCCTTTCGCACCGCAACAGCGGCGTGGGGCGTGCAGCGGCTTGTGATTGTGCTACTGCTACTGGTATCTACCCGTATCCATTTAGTTCCTCCACCCTATCCAGGATATCCAGGCGTTGTGAGAGAGACCTGGTCAATTTTGCAGGGTCCCCAAGCTTCAGGGGTTTAGGGTTTATAGGGTTTAGGTAAACATGGTTGGTGGTCTCTTTAAGTAGGGTTTCTGTTTTCTAGGGTTATTAGGTATCTAGGGGCTAGATAAATAATTAGATTAAGGTATAAAGGGTAACAGAGAAAGAGACCACCGGCCTTTCTAAGGTTCGGGCTCAGGGTACCGACCATGTGCGAAGGAGCCAGCCTTGCTTTGGATACGTTGAGGCGGTCGAGGACCAGGCCCAGGCCGAGGACAAGGAGGGCAAGGCAAACGCTTGCTGAGAGGCCTCCCAAAGGTGTCTTGCCTACTTTTAGGGTTTAGGGTTTAGGGCTACTTGGAGGTTCATGGGTACTTGTACAAGTAGGGTTTTAAGGGTCATGGGTACTTATAAGTAGAGTTTTAGGTTCATGGGTACTTCTAAGTATGGCTTTAGTAACCTTAACAAGGTCTCTAAAAAGTATAGCAGGCCTTCCAAGTGTGCCTTGCCTACTACTTCGAGGGTTAATGAGCCCCGCGTGTTAAATAAGAATCTGCACGCCCCGTAATAAAAGAATACTAGTGAACGGGGCAAAGAAGAAGTATGAAAGGAACAAACGAGAAGTTAATAAAGCCAGAGTGAATAGGATGAAACCAACCACCCGAAGAAGCTAATTTACGAGCAAAGTTGGGATACTTTTGGAGATCTTAACAAAAGCTGTGTGCTCACGCCTGAATAATCTATGGACTATGTGATCTTTTCACGCGCCCTAATGATAAAAAACAAAGCACATGAAATGCAAACAGAAGCAAAGTCATCCATTATTAATTGGCGAGCGAAATGAAGCCCCCAAGATAAGAGAATACAATGAGAGATCCCAGCCTTTAATAGGGGCTTTCAAGCAATTCCCCAATCACGTTGTACTTGTACAAGTAGGGGTCTTAGGTTTGTGGGTACTTACAAGTCGGGTTTTCGTAACCTGAATATGGTTATTCTACTATAGTTACCATGCTTACAACCCTACTTATACCAATGTACCTCCAAGTACAGAGGGGCCGAAATAGGCGTGTCATGGCATGTCTCTAATCTGTGGTGCGTTCGTAGAGAGGCCCAACGACCGACCAATATCATCCCCTCCTTCCCTCTAATGTTGCAACTGTACTCTGCGCTGCAAGGGACTGAGGCAAATCGGAACCAAGCTGGTAAAGCCTGAAGCCCTATGACCTGGGTTTAGGGTTTAGGGTTCATAATTTAGGGTTTAGGGTTTATAATTTAGGGTTTAGGGTTTATAATTAAGGGTTTAGGGTTTATAATTTAGGGTTTATTATTTAGGGTTTAGGGAAAAACAAGGTTTGTGACGGCTTTGGACCCCTTCTTCTTGCTTGCTTCCAAGTAACCTTGGGCCATGGCAAGCAGGTTCAGGGTGTCCGGGGTAAGCTACTATAAGCAGCATGACCCTAAGCCCTAAACCCTAAACCCTAAACCCTAAACCCTAAACCCTAAACCCTGAGTGTGATCTCAGAAACAGCAGAAATCACTGAAACCCAGCCCTCCAGGGTCTGATGCCTTCCTCACCACACTTTCAAGTATACCCCTAAACCCTAAACCCTAAACCCTAAACCCTAAACCCTAAACCCTAAACCCTAAACCCTAAACCCTAAACCCTAAACCCTAAACCGCCGCAGATACTCGTCCTCTGCCTCAAGGTAACCTGCGGCTGCCCCTGGCCACACAATCTTGCTTCCTTTTGTCGATTACCTTCGCCCCCCGCATGTCGGACTAAGATCCGGATCCCCATGCCCGGGCATGCATGTTTGTATGCAATGTACAGCAGGTCACGTTCATCCCTGGTAGTGGTACAGCACAGAATATCAGAGATGCTGAGTCCCAGTGGGAGCCGATGTAAAGGTGTACAGAAGCCAGTACTCGGCGATGTGTAAAGCATGACCAGACCAATACCAGTTATCAGGAAAAAGAGACTTGGCAGGACGTGCAGATCATATAGATTGCCCAGCTAGGGGTTCCTGCAAGGAGACGAAAGAGATCGCCCAAATCTGCTTTCAATGACGAGAGTCTTTAGATATGTGGCTCTGAGAGGTTCAGTTGTCTTGCTTCTTCTGGCTAGCTAGGGCCTACTGAGCTGCGGAAGCCTAAAACCCTGAGGGTTATGGGCTTAGGTTTCGCGGCTTGGCATGCGCTTAAATCCACTCCCCAATATCTTTTAACGGCACCCCCTCCCCGCAGGTCAGGCCACCATTTTTTTTTGCATAAAGGTTTTTTCCTTTTTTTTTCCAATAGGGGGGAAGGATTGATTCTGCGCAGCCGCGCATGCCGAGAACCGAAAACAAGCCGGATGGATGCCCACGGCAACACACAGATCCACACCAAGAAGGCCTTGTGTAATAAAGAAATCTGCGTGCCTGACAGCCCAAAATACTGCAGGTTGACCCGGAAATTCCCCCAAAAACTCTACAGGCCCGAAGCCCCAAACCCTTGGAACCCTAATTACGTCGTCTTCTAGATATTATGTGACTCTAGTATAAAATGGTACAATATGCTTGTGGCCTTGCTGAGCGAGACCATTTGGGGATGGCACAGCAGGGAAAGGGGAGAGAGAGAAAGAGAGAACAAACAAAGAGAATGCATGTTCTGATAGCATCTAGCGTAATTTGCATTACTTATATATTTATCAGTTGTTCAGAGTGGCTTGTAAGATCTGACCCTGTAGACACCCTAAACCCTAAACCCTAAACCCCTTGCATCGCCGAGGCTTAGAGTCCGTGCGCCTGCCACCGTTGGTGATCGGATCGTGCAGCCCCCAGCAGTCACAGTCGGCGACCCTCTGTGTGGGCTTGAAAGGCTTTTGGGGATTTCGTTGTCTGTTACTTAGCCGCAAAGGCCACACCTCGAGCAGGGATTCGGGTTTAGGGTTTATGTGGCTTTGCCGGAGTTGTTGCAGGAGGGGACTACCAACTCCTTGCAGCCCATCTCCCAGCATTGAGTAAAAGCTTCTAACACCTTCTAAACCTCCAATTTAAGCCCTGAACTCTCTCAAGCCTTATAATCCGAACTAAGCCCGAAAAGTCCCCAAACCCTACCTAGGAGCCCCCTAAAAGCCCCCCAAACCCTACGTAAGTACCACAAAGGTCGGAGCGCAAACTTGGAGTCCCTGGAACGAACCGCCCCTTGGATATCTGCTTGGACCTCTACATTATGGGGGGGGGGGGTTCCGAACAAGGGACCCCCTAATATAGACCCCCAAACAGTACGATTCACATAGAATAAGGACCCCAAGAAGGAACTCCCCAATTTCGGAAACCCCCATATGACACTAAGATACTTTGGGTTTAGGCTTTAGGGGTTTTAGGGACTACAGTATAGTTTCTTTAGGAATTATGTTTTTACTTTCGTTGATGTAAAGCCCAAGGGGATTTTGAGCATGTGATTTTTTGAGGTATATCTTATCATCATATATTGTATGGTTATAATAGTATATTGTATTCTATGACGATACACTCCTATGATCTCCTATGACATTGTCGGAGAGATCGTCATTTGCAATATGACCTGGACCTTGGGTTTCGGGCTGTGGGGCCTTGTTCCAGGGTGTGCGGGTTGAAGAGACCTGCACACAGAACGCGCCGCGACCGCGAAAGTCATTTGAGGCTGTTCTGGATTCCAACGTGTGCCCTGTGGTAGCCATTTTTTTTCGAACCCTCCTTCCTGCCCCCCAAAATGAAAGGAAAGGGGAACAGCCTTTTCTGTGGATACATGAAGGAGGTCCGCTCTTGATGTGGTCTTCAAGCCTTCAACGATGACATACAAAAAGGCCGAAAAAACCCAAACCCTGCACCCTAACTGGGACACACGAAGGGCATGACTCAGAACAGCCCTAAACCCTACACCGTAAACCCCAAACCCTAAACCCTAAACCAGATGGGCCTTTCTTCCTGGTGTGGATCTAAGGGGATAGGTACCTTTTGTGTTTATGTTAGTCTTCCATTTCACATATCCCTACTAAACTAGCTTCCCTACAATGATCCCCGGTTGATCCGCGCCCCATTTTTATGCTGGCTTTAAAGGCACTTTCTCCTACAACATGATGACATGATATTCCGGAACTAGTCCCTGCAATGTGGCCTGAGTGTCAGCCAGGCGGGTGGCAAAAAAAAACCCTAAACCCTAAATCCTGAACCCTAAACCCTAAACCCTAAACCCTAAACCCTAAACCCTAAACCCTAAACCCTAAACCCTAAACCCTAAACCCCAAACCCTAAACCCTAAACCCTATCCGAAGACTTGAGACCCCTGAGGCTGGTGTTCTGGGCTTCGGTGCGCCCGCCTGCGCGATCTCCGAGTTGACAGCTGGCCCTTCTTGGAGGTGGGAGCTTTGTGGTTCAGGGGTTTAGGGTTTAGGGTTTAGGGTTTAGGGTTTAGGGTTTAGGGTTTAGGGTTTAGGGTAAGGCCTAGGGGGATTTTGGGTTAAGGTTTAGGATTTAGGGTGAAAACTGGTGCTCAGAAGAAGGGGGAACTTGTAGGCACAGAACTTGCCTGGAATGACTTCGTTTGAGATACTTATCGTCACAATCCTGCTTCCAACTTGTCATGAGCGGCCAAGCAGGTATGGGCGTTGTTCTGCATCAAGCGCATGGGCGGTAGTCCATCCCCAACACCTTAACCTGAAGCCCCAAGGCCCCGGGCCCCAAGCACGGCTTGAAGCATCACATTCAAAACGAAGTGGCGGCCATAGATGCGCAGCAAGCAATGATCAGTCCGAGGATTCTGGGGTGCAGATGCTCACAGCGGCCGGGCTCAACGGTAACACGCGGGCCTGTTCTGTCAAGTCTGATATGCTAACTTGCAGTCAGGGTGTCTGGCTCGAGTGGATAAGAGGTTGCTTGACCGTTCCCTCTGCATGAAGGCCCCCAGTGAATTCAGCCCTCGAGATATTGAGCCCTCCGCACATGCCATGTTCCTTTGTGGTAAGGAAACAGCCAGTCTTGTGCTGACCAGGGTCAGGCTTCGGAGTGGCTAGGTTTTCTCTCCTTCGGTCAGCGGATGTCCCTGGCTGAGGCCCAGTGCCCTCGGTTGCGGATGTTGTGGTTGCGGCAGGCGCGTGGTTGTATGGCGCACGCTCCAGTCTTTTTTGCCTCCCCGGACCTGGTCTTGCTCTTGCTGCTCTGCTTTGTGGCGTCGCATTTCAGGGGGCTTGTCGTGTTTAGAGGTGGACAGCACTTGATCTCAGAGGCAAGGCTGTGTCAACCTCAGCCTTCGCATGCACAAATCTCTGCTTGGACGATGCCCGAAGGCCCCGCGCCTGTCTGACGACGCAGTCAGCTACATCGCCGGGCTGCATGGCTTAGTCGAGAACTTTTTAAATAAGCAACCAAAATAACAATCCCCACTCGGAAAGGGCAATCGCAGGAAGTGCCGGCAGGAATTCTCGACCAAAAGCCCTAAACCCTGAAACCCTAAATGCGGATTCGCCCCAGCTGTGCAGGGGGGAAAACGCTGAACCCATTGTTATTATTGACTACAACGGGCATGTCTAGGTTTACTGTCTCTTGGCTCACTAGTTTCACTAGCGCACAGACGAAGTCTATCTACTTGTCAATGCTCTATCATCACGAGCAGTCTTTTGACCATGAAGACACATTATGGATAGTTCTCTTAACTGAGCTCTGAAGTGTTTAGATTTCCAAAGAGTTTGAGAATAAAGGTCCGGAGTAAATCAATATCTTGGAGTGAATTACACAAAGGAATCATAGTCCCCATGGCAAACTATCACTAGCAAGTCTTCTGGAAGGGTTTTTTGCCACTGCTATCTTCATCAGCCGGGAAATCAGCAAGCTTCGATTAGGGTCAAGGGAGAAAAGGGTACCTCGTGGCACACTTTAGACCTTCCTGGCGTCCTTGTGGAGAAGTCATTCGAGGTACAAGTGGTCATTAGATGTCGGCCGAGACCAAGATAATGTCTCTATATTTGGTCCCCGCCCCTTGTGTTCGGGGCATTGAAATGGACAAGAACTTCGAGAGCTGGCCCTCTAACGTACCCTGTCAGGATATCATGGCAAGCCGGTTTTTTACATGATGGCTTGTTGTTAGGCACCGAAGCCAAAAATGTTGTACCCAAAAGGCGACTGCAAGCGACTACAGTTTTGAGAGCTGGCCATGTACTAGGTGACTTCCTGTTAAAGGTTGGGTTTCATGATGAATTCTGTTAGGCACAGGAGAGAGTAGCGTTGTGATCGCGAAACGCCCTATCATAAAGGCATGTTTTGTTGGAGAGTAAGAAACTCTTGCTTGATTTGTGTGGAGCCACGAGCGCTGTTTCGCCATTCGTGATGGCAATTCGCCGCTGAGGACAGCGATAGATCTTGTGCGGACCGGCCAGCCCACATAATCGCTTCTACTTTGTCATAGTTGGGTACCATTTTACATGTTTAAGGGTACATAAACCCTATAAGGAATAAACAATTGAAATTTTAATATTCCCCCAACCATGAACTAGTCTAGCCTCTACACTTGAGACTTCAAGCTCCCGAGCCCAGGCTCACGCAGCTCACGAGCCTGTCCCTATCTTTGGGTGCAGGCGCTCCACCACTCAGGGCTTCGTAATGCCCCATCCTCCCCCCCCCCCCCCCCCCCCCCCCCCCTCCCCCCCCCCCCCCTTCCCGCCCCCCAGCCCCAGCCCCAGCCCCAGCCCCAGCCCAGCCCCAGCAGCCAGCCCCAGCCCCAGCCCCAGCCCCAGCCCCACCCCCCGCTTGCACCCTTCCCCCCCCCCCTACTCTAGCAGGCTACCGGGCCGGAGAGCCGAGCTTTGGTAAAAAACCCTAAACCCGAAACCCGAAACCCTAAACCCTAAACCCTAAACCCATCCAAAAGCATAAGGCGTCAGCAAAGTGCATGGCGGCGAGGTGTCAAAGCGCACGGTATAGATGAGCTGCAGATCTCGCCCGACGATCCTGGGTTGTAGGCTATTGGGGTTACCTGTGAGTTCCTGCTGATGGGTTGTCGGGTCGTGTCCGGCAACTACACCCTAAGCCCTTGGGAACCCCAAAAACTGCAGTAACCCCAAAAACCCTGAAGGCCCAAACCCTGACGCAACCCTAAACCCTTGAGAACGCCCCAAAAACCCGAACCTGAAGCCCTAAACCCTGTCCGAGTGTGATCGATTGAACCCCAACTACCCCCAAACCCCCCTAACACAGGCCTCACCGACCGCGCCCTGCGGGAACTGAGCAGCGCTGGCTCAAAGCTCCGGCACTTGGACCTTTGCGGCTGTGCCTGGGACCAGATGGTGAGTTACGAGTTTAGGGCGAAAGAGGGTTCAGGGTTTAGGGTTTAGGGTTTAGGGTTTAGGGTTTGGGGTTTAGGGTTTGGGGTTTAGGGCGAAAGAGGACTAGTTTTAGGGTGCAATAGGCTTTGGGGTTCTTTAGGGTCGAAGGCTCAGGGTCTACAAGGGATGAATGGCTTCCTTGTTTATTCCTCGGGCCGCCTCACCCGGCGTCACTGAGGAGAAGCTTCGGGCATTTTACCCTTGCGGACTTCCGAAAGCTACCCGTATCCCCGTTGGCTGTCGGACCGCTCTTGCATGTCCCTGCCGCAGCTAACGAAGCATACTGTTGAGAAGCCTGCAGCTGCCAGTCGCCCATGATTATATGGACTTTCAACTACTACTGTAATTGCTTAAGAACCGCAAACAAACAAACTGTTCTTCCTCATAAGGGCCATCTTGGGATTATCTTTTTATTTCTTGGGGGGTTCTTAAGCCAATTGTAGTAAACGCTTGCCCACCTCGCCGCGAGAACCCCACTACACCCTAAACCCTAAACCCTGAACCCTGAACCCTAAACCCTAAACCTAAACCCTAAACCCTAAACCCTAGGGTAAAAAAAACCCTAAACCCTAAACCCTTTGCCGGCCCTTGAGGCCGCCAACTTACAGAAGCCGGCGCTCGGAACTCAGCCCCACTTGGAGGTTCATGGTACTTAGGGTTTAGGGTAGGTTCATGGGTTTAGGGTTTAGGGTTTAGGGTTTATTAACCAATGATAACTGTACTTATAACCCACTTAGAAGCCCCTTAAGTGCCCTAATATGGTTGTAAGTACAGGGTTAAGTGTACAGTTATAATTGGTTCGTAAGCACCATGAACCTCCGAGCAGTCGTAGGGGCTCAAAGGGGACTATAGTTTGGGATGCTCCTTCTTATATGAACTGTCCGTAAGAGGGATTCTCCCTATTATGATCCCTATTCAGGACTGTTAGTATAAGGGGGAACGTCCCAAAATATAGAGAGGCAGACTCGAAGACACCAAACACCCCAAAGAGTCGATGGTTTGTCTTCTTTGATGTTGTGGTCGCAATTGCACAATTGCAAGCCCGTCAAACACAAGTGCGAACATGATCCCATATAAGCCCCCATAACCTTTAACAACAGTTGTATATTGCCATATATATATATATATATAAACCACACCCATCCGCCCATCCACTCATCCGCCCATCCACCCGCCCACCCACCCACCTACCCACCCACCCCCCAACAAAAAAACAAACACAAGAACAACTGTATCTACATATATGTATATACACACATGCACATATTCATACTTAGATGGATCTTTGGAAAAGCCCTGAGCCGGGCCTGCAGATCAGGTGGTGGACTTTGCCGCGCACGTGTCCGGGTTGCACCATGGAGGACATTTTGCCTCATATGTGGACCCCACTGGATTTCTTTAAATGGTTACTAGTAGCAGAATAGATAGAAAGTTAGGGGCCCCACCCCCCCCCCCCCCCCCTCCCCGAACAAAAGAAAGAAGAGCGAAAACCAGAGAACTAACCGGGGTAGGGCACGCAGGTGTGGCAAATCTTTGGAGCACTCAGAGCAGTGCAAAACACAGGTCGACCGACTCAATGGTAGCAGTTGACGAGTTCACCTGAAGCTCGCAACAGGGTAGGTCCTACAAGCATTTTTCGATTGTCTCTTATCGGGGTTGCAGAGGATCCTATTTAGGATCATTTTCCGAGGGTAGAGAGGGCCAACCTAGGCAATGATACCAAAGCGTTTAGTGCCCAAAAGGTTGCCAATGGTGGCCCACGGCTTCGTTCGCTGCAGTTGCTGAGCAAGAAGCAGGGATGTTGCGAATGTAGGGTTGCGGTCTAGGTCAGTTGGGATGTGCTGTCAGCTCTCATAGGCATCTTGTTGCAGGGTTCGTGTTGTTTTCACCACCTGTGACAGCTAGTCCTGCAAACGTTTTTGAGAGCAATCCGGCAGTTGCCCGGGGTTTAGACAGAAGGTGCCCCATGTCATTGGATTGGGGGCTTGTCAGGGTTTGCCTGCTCTTGCTGCGTCTTGCTGATTTTTTTCGATGCCCCAGACGCCCATTCCTAACCTCCTTGCAGGTTCATGGGTATTTACAAGCAGGGCACTAAGTATGGTGACTACATATTTACAACCTTAAGCCCTACATCAAAGTCTTCATGAACCTCCAAGTAAACCGCAAACCCGAAACCCTGCACCCCAGAGGTTGGACTCCTGCCTGCAACTGGGGCGTGGGGCGGCGCAAGCGCTCTTGACCTGCGGCTCGCTTCTGAGGCCAGGTTCAAGGGGGGCTTAGGGTTTTCCTAGGTAGGATAAGGGGGACCCCTAAATGGGAACCCTTCTGAAACCCTCTTCTGGCTCTCTTAAAAAGGAACTGATTGAGAGGGTCTAGAGCCCCAAGGGTCCCCCCGAATCCTATCCCCTAGGTTTAGAGGTTTACGGTCTCCGAGTCGGCTAAAGGGTTTAGGGGTCTCACAGTCTGGGCTCAAACGGTTGCAGGGTTTTCTAGGCTACAGTTCAGGGATTATGTTCGTTTTGTTTTTAGAAGCCAGTTCTAAGGTGAGACTGTTCGGAGGTTAGGATTCTGAGCTTTGTGACTGTTCCCCACACCGGGCCGTTAGTCTCCCCCCAAATCGCCCGAAGTCTCGGGAGATTCCCGCAAAAAGATCCATGCAGTGCCCGATCTCAGATGATCCAACATCGCCCATCAAGTCGCTTGAATTTAGGGCGGGGATGCGTTTGGGGGGGCTGCTCCCGAATGCACCGTTTTTCTTTTGGTAGTTGGGGGGATGTTTCTGGTAGCCCCATCTTGCACTCCCATGTCATGTCTGAGGAAGGCCTGATTCACGGAGCTATTCTCTGATTCTGGAGCCCTCTGAAGTCAAATAAATCCTATTGCAGGTGCAGCTTGTCCAGTTGCCGACCTCTTCCCGAGCCTGCGGAGAAGTGGCAGGCCCGGGCTTTAAAAAAAAAGGAAGGAAGGGGGTTTAGGAAGAGGGCGTTTAAACCGCGGAGGCGGGTTTCTTTAACCCTCAACCCTATAAACTCAAGACCTTTTGAAAGTTTCGGGCGCTGAGTAGGCTTCAGGCTAAGGGAGTAGTTAGGTTTCCTTCTCTAAGCCCCATCGAGCAAAAACAACATACCCCTATTTTATCCCTGAGGTGCCTTGTTAGGGTTTAGGGTCTAAGGTCAAGGTGTTAGGGTTTAGGGTTTAGGGTTTAGGGTTTAGGGTTTAGGGTTTAGGGTTTAGGGTCCCTAAGGTTTAGGGGCCCTTATAAGATACGATCCATCAGTTCGAGGCTGTTTAATCTGCAAGGCTTTGGATTCATGGGACACGCGAAGGAATGCGTGAATTGTTGGAGTCTGTGCTGCCAGAAACCTACCCATGCACGTAAGATCCTGGCATCCGCGCAGCCCTTTCTACTGCGCATAGGGAGAAGTCCCGAGACGCAGCACCTCAAACCCTGAAATTCTAAACCTATAAGCCTTAAACTTACTTTTAACCTAGGCCTAAGCCTTGCACTTAATGGTTGTAAACCGAAGTCTTACCCTTATTCATTCTAAACCTAAGCCTTAAACAAACCTTCTGCTAGACCTGTAGGCCTTAAACTTGTTTATCGCAAGTGCTTCACATGTTTACGCCAATGGGGCGCATGTGACGTCTGACTGTCTGAGTAGGGCGTCGGGGTCACCGCCGTGAAGCAAACGCAAAGCTCATCCAGAGCAGAAGTCTCAACACCATTCTCCCCCCCCCCCCAACCCACCCTATATAAACCCTAAAAAAAGCAACAAAAACCCCGAAACCCCAAAACCCCCCCCCCCCCCCAAGAAGCAGGAAGTAGCAGCCCCAACCATGCGCCGCCATGGCCCTGCACTCCTGGGCCTGGCCTGCCTGCTCGGCGCCCACGTTCCTTCCCACGTATCGGGATTCCTGGCGCACTTCCGCGGCCCAGGCCGCGGCAGCAAAGCGCCTGGGCACTTTCCTGCGGCGGGGACGGGCTGGGGGCTGGCAAGAAAGCCTGAACATGAGCCAAACAGCTGTACCTTGAACACCCGCCCTGAACCTGACACCCGGAGCCTTAGCCCATGAATCCCTGGACCCTAAACTCCCTAAACCCTAATTACCCTCAAGCCTGGTTGAAGGTTTCGGGTTGGCATTGCGGGGATTTAGGAACATGCAGGCATGGCCCTCAGTCCACAGTTCAGAAGGGCTCTGGACTATAGGGTCTAGGGTTGACGGTTTAGAGTTTAGCATTTATAGTAGGGTTTAGAACAGCTGAAGCATTGTTTGGGGTCGATACAACCCTCATTAACACCCCCCTTGAGCCTATGAGAAGCCTGAACCTAGACATGAAGCCCTGAGCCTGCCATCACTAGGGTTTAGGGTTTAGGGCTAGAGTTTAGGGTTTAGGGCTAGGGTTTAGGGTTTAGGGTACAGGGTTTGGCGTATTAGGGACACCCGGAGCTTCAAAACCTTCTTAAACTTGAAACCCCAAGAAGCCGTTGAACCCTGAAACCTAAAGCCTTCTAACCCCCACTTCCCTAAACCCTAGCCCCCAAACCCCCAACCCCAATAAACCCCAAACCCTAGACCCTAGACCCTAGACCCTAGACCCTAGACCCTAGACCCTAGACCCTAGACCCTAGACCCTAGACCCTAAACCCTAAACCCTAAACCCTAAACCCTAAACCCTAAACCCTAAACCCTAAACCCTAAACCCTAGCCCTAAACCCTAAACTCTATAAACCTAAGCCCCACTTCCCTAGAAGCCCAGGTCCCCCGCTGTGCCGGTTCAGATGGAGATGACGCGGCCATCCTCAAAGCCAAGGATGCCATAGGCAGGTTTAGGGTTTAGGGTTTAGGGTTTAGGGTTTAGGGTTTAGGGTTTAGGGTTTAGGGTTTAGGGTTTAGGGTTTAGGGTTTAGGGTTTAGGGTTTAGGGTTTAGGGTTTAGGGAGAATCTTCAGCTGTTGTTTTTTTGGAGTTGAGAGGGGCGGAGGGGGTGGTGGGGGGGTTTAGGGTTAAACGAGTTTGGTGTTTCAATAAGGTTTTTTTTGGGTTTCGGGTTGGAAGTCCCCTTGGATGGAAGGGCCCAGGGTTCTTTAGAGTCCTTCAGCTTGTTTAAAGTGTAGCGTCCCTTGCTTAGAAGGCCTCAGATCATGCACCAGAAGCCCAGAACCCCAAACCTTATATGGTTTGGCGGTCTCTTTACGGAGGGTTTCTGTTTTATAAGGGCATTATATTCGGGGCTCTTATTCGGGTATCTCGGGGCTATATTTAGGTATGAAGCAGGTAACCGGCCTTTATAACCCAAACCGTGCCAGGTGAGATCTTAGAGCAGCTGGAAAATGGCGACCTCGGCAGCGAAGATTGCGACGGCTTAGGGTTTAGGCAAAAGGGTTCGAAGTCATAGTCCTTTGTTTGGGATAGCCTAACTAGGACCCGCACCCTTTCTATTCCTAGGTTACCTGGGCCTGGTTAAACATAATCATAAGGTTCCGTATTACAATGGGAAACCCCAAAGGCCTGCCCCACATGCCCCAGCACCACTCACCCACTAGGGTTTCGGGTTCAGGGTGCCAGGGTTTCGGGTTCTGCCGAAATGTTGAAAGCGCCTCGATCATTGTGGCAATTCTTTGAACTCGAACTCGAACAATCCAGAGGCTTCCCGACAGTGTGGCAGAACATGTGTTGCCCCCCTAAACCCTAGACCCTAAACCCGAATCCCGAAAGGGTTCACGGCTCTCATGGTTCTCAAAGGCATGGAGGGGGAGCCTGGCCAGCTGCGCGCGCAGGCGTTGCGCCTGAGGCGGCTCGTGGAATCACAAGTTGGCGTAGAATGGTATCTAGTTTCCTCTTTCTATATACTGCAATATTGCATTATACTATATTGTAACGAATATCGTCTGTAGTGTCATGACTTATAGCCTTAAGCTCAGGGTTTGGTGATGTTCGGTGACTTCGGGATCTTGTTGGCCAAGCCCCGAAACCTAGCCTAGCGTCCTTCTTGGAAGGGTGCAGTGGGAAGCCGCGCGTTTGCGAAGCTGCCAGGTGGGATGCCCTGTGCTCTGGGAAGGAGGAGACCCGGCTTCGGGGCCTAAGAAGCTGAGGAGGAACTTTTTTGGGAAAGGGACCCTTAAGGCTTGCTTGGCGCAGTATAGGGGCGTCTGTCAATGTAGAGGCTTTAGAGGGCCCGGAACGGCTTCAAACGCCGGGGGGCAGGCAGGGATCTACTAGTCCTGCTTCAAGCTTGTTTCTTGTTGGCAGAGTGGTGGTTGTGAATATTGCAGGGCCAGCAAGCCGGGAACGGCGCGGCTTCAGCAATGCAAGCAGGTCCACAGGCGATGCCCTGTGAGTTTCGACAACAGGTTTTTTTGCCGGCGGTGTCAGAACGTCAGGTTCTTGAGCTGCCCGAATCTTGTACCGCCGCCCCTAAGACTCCCCCAAAAGACATCAATTGCCTTACCAACATTTTTTCTACCCCCTTGGAACAAGAGAACTCGCCCTCCCTAAACCCCTAAACCCCTAAACCCCTAAAAACCCTTAAACCCCTATAGACCCCAAAAACCCTTAAACCCCTAAACCCCTAAAACCCCTAAACCCCTAAACCCCAAAACCCCAAACCTTAAACCCCAAACCCTACCCTCAACAGAGCAACACTTGCTGACTTGGCCCGGAGGATCCCGCGGCTCAACTCCAGGCCGCCCGGGAGGGCGTGCTGCAGGCCAACCAGGCCACAGGGTAGGATTTTTAGGGCTTAGGGTTAGGACTTAGTGGGTTTAGGGTTTAGGATTTATAGGGGGTAGGGTTTGCAGGGTGCAGGATTTGAGGATTTGGGGTATTTCCGGTTTAGGGTGCATGATATAGGGTATGGATGCTATATGAAGAAGTCGGGAGCCGTTGCTTGCTGAGTTCTTTCTCAAGTAGTTTTTGTCGGAAGCCTTACCAAGCCCCCATGCTGCTTCAGGCATTCTACGCTGCATTCAACAGCAGAGATCTGGATGCGATGAGTGATCTTTGGGCGAGCAGCGTCTCGAATTGGGGCCCGCTGCTCTTCTTTAACGACAAGGACCATCGGTCACTTCGTCGAAGCATGTTCGTCGGAGTAGCGGTCTAGCCGTTTGCGCACTGCAGCGGCAGGGCATCGAGAGAGAGAGAGATTTTCAGAATGTACGCATAATAGTGTCGACTAATTATTAGGTTCCATCTTGAGATGTGCCAGACGCTACACCCGGCTTCCTGAATAAAGCCAGCACCCTTGCAACGCTCCAAGCCTTCAGGAGGATGCTTCGGGCGTCACCTGCGTCTGTACCCATCCGGACAGCTCGCACCTGGGCAGCTTTTTTGGGTAGGCCCTTCAAATACTTGATTTTCCCCTCATTGGTTAAAGAGGATCCTATTCAGGATTATTTTTCAGAAGGCTTTAAGCACCGACCTAGTTGTTAAAGATTCTTGAGGGCCTCAGATTTAGGCTTTGCAGGTTCGCTGAGAAAGGGCCCTTGGCTTCGCCTCAGTGTTGGCGAGCTGCCAACAAGATGTCCCGACGCGGCCTATACAGCACACGCGCGCGCGCGCGCGCGCGCGCCCACACACACGCAAACACCTACACCTGAGCCATAAACGCTTTGAAGCCCCAAACCCGAAATCCTAACCCTAAACCCTAAACCTAAACTCTATAAACGATAAGGAGAATGGTGGGCAGAAGCGACATCCTGACGAGCCTCTTCGGCTGAAAGCTTTTTCGGTCAGGGTTTAGGGGTTAGGGTTTAGGGTTTAGGGGTTAGGGCTTTCGTGTTCTTTCAAGCGCCCCTATAAACACATGGGCCTTAAACCCTCGCCCCAAACCCTAAACCCCAAACCCTAACCCCCCACCCCCCCTAAGCCCTAAACCCTAAACCCTAAACCCTAAACCCTAAACCCTAAACCCTAAACCTCAGGCTGGTTTCGGATTTTCGGCTCGGCCACGCTCCCCACGGTGGCCACGTCCTCGGAAGAGGCCGACTTGGAGTCGCTGCCAAAACAAAGGTAAAGTTTAAGGTTTAGGGTTTTTAGGGTTTTTAGGGTTTTTAGGGTTTTTAGGGTTTAGGTTTTAGTTTTAGGGTTCAGGGTTTAGGGTTTCGAGTTTAGGGTTTAGGGCTTAAGGTTTAAGGTTTAGGGATTAGGGTTTAGGGTTTAAGGTTGAGGGTTTACGGATTGGGGTTTAATGTTTAGGGTTTAAGGTTTGGGGTTTCGAGTTTAGGGTCTAAGGTTGAGTGTTTAGGGATTAGGGTTTAAGGTTTAGGGTTTATGGTTTATGAAAAAGGTTTAGGGTTTAAGGTTTGGGGTTTAGGTTCGATAAGGTTGGGATTCGTTGCTGCTGTTGGGGGGGTGGCGGGGTGTTGTCATGAGGGGCTTGTTACATAGGCTTTGCAATTGATGGGTAGTTCGAAGTTTCTTATCGGCTTCCTCCCTGGAGGACGCTTGAGTGAACTGTGCGCAGATTCCACTGATTGATGCTTAACTAGTTCACGTCCAGAGTCTGGAGCACACATCATCAAGCACAAGCGACGCCTTGGATGCGTCACTTTCAATTGCAGAGTGCATGTTGGTTTTGGCAGGTTTCATTCAAAAGGTTGACCGGCGTGAACATGTATTGACCCTCCCAGGAATGCAGCCCTCGTCAGGAACCGCCAAGATTCCCCAAGGCTACCCGTGAGGTTCTCGGGTGGATATAAGTGGGGTTCGCTGTAGGGCTACAAGTATGATAGCTATAATTGTAACCTTTTTTCGGGCCTTAAAAGCCCTGCACCTAGCTACCCATGGCCAATTAAACCTCCAAGCAAGCCTGAAACCATGAGCGTAAGGCCACAAAGTTGTAGGTGTTGCTCACCTCCTCGGACATGGCAGTGGTCGTTTGCAGGGAAGAGACCCCGCTGCACTGAGTAGTGGGTATGTGCGCGACACGCAGGCTGTTGTGATATGGTGATTTTTGAAGTTGAGGTTGCTTCTTGTGGTGCTCAGCCCCAAGTGGGTCCTTCCAGGGAGCCATTTTTCGCAGTGGGTTGTCATGACTTACCGAACATCATGCTTAGGGCCTTGAGGGCTTATCATTGTTTAGTTTAGGATATGTGGGCCTTTCCGAAATGAGAGGTACCTTATGGGGGTCCTTATTACAAGGGAATCCTACTATTTCGGGGTCTATACTAGGGTCCCTCATCTTCGCAAACCGCCATATATCTCCTAGGCTTTGACGCCCGCAGCCATGGCTGCTTGTCATCGCGAAGAGAGCTTGCGCCACCGAGGAGACCAGCAACGGTGGCATGCATGAGGCTACCAACACATTTGCCCGTAGCAGAAGCGCCTTGGCTTGAACCGGCGTTGAGGGGTTTACTGTAGGGTTGGGGGGAAGGTTTTAGGGTTTGGGTTGTGGAGGGGCTCGCCGGGTCTGTCTTCCAAGGAGCTTTCCTTCCACGAAGTGGCGCGGTCGATAACATGTTTAGAATACAACTGAGATGAAATTGGATAGTTGGATGCACAGAAACGAACCCACAACACATTTTTCAATTTATCTGATTGTTAGTCCCGTAATGACTTAACTAAGAAGAATATCATGGGAAAGGGTGGAAATGAGAACTCTCCAGCTGGCCTGGACATTGATGTATAGCAGCATCTTTTGAGTAGTTTCATGGTCCCTGAATATGGCCCCTTACCTCACTTAAAGGGTTCTGACTTGTGGGCCCTTAGGTTGTAAAGGGCATATGAGCGGTATATAAGGGTTCTTCTTTTAAGGCCCATGTTAAGGGATGATGTAACTACCCCAATGTAGCATGTACTTAGCCTTAGCCTGCCCTACCACCGAGACCCCCCTCAGACTTGAGATAACCACATCCAGCAACCTGTGCGCCAAGGTGGGAAATGGTACATGGTTGGACACCAAGCGGGCCCAGTGATGAAGTAGCTAGTCTGGCTGTCCGACTTCCTGCAAAGGGATGAGAAAACCCGGAGCTCCAGGGCTGGGTGCTCGTAATCGTCATGTGGAAGTTGTGCTAACTTTTTCGGCTTGCCGACAGCTCAAACAATCAGCCTCTCATACCCTAAGCCCCAAACCCTAAACCCTAAACCCAGGGTCCCACTTTCAAGAAGGCCGGCCCTTTTAAGCTTGGAAAGGGGAGTGCGGGACTTGAGGCGCGACTTCGGCGGTTGAGGGGTTTAGTGCCCTGGAACCCTTCGTCGTGGACAGCTGGCTCCACCTAGAAGTCTCAGCCTGGGCGAACTCTGAGCTGTTCCGTGCGACAAAATTCTCTGAAAGCACAATATTGTCAAGACTCAATGGCAGAAGAAGCCTTCGAAGACAGAGGGCTGAAGCTGGGACCCTGGCCCTCCCCCTAAAGCGCTAAAAGCCCCAAACCCTAAAACCGCCACAAACACATAGCCCAAAACCCTAAAAGACTTTAAGCCCTAAATGCCCTACTGACAAAACCCTAACTTGCTGGCCCAGTGGCACCCTTTTTTCCCCCTTTTTGTTGGCTCCATGTTCCCTCCAAAAAAGGGGTACCCTTACTGTAATATATGGTTACTGAACTAACCAAAGCCAAGTCCAAACCCCAAACCCCAAACCCCAAACCCCAAACCCTAAACCCTAAAGCCTAAACCCTAAACCCCAAACCCCAAACCCTAAACCCCAAGCCCTAAACCCTAAACCCCAAACCCCAAACCCCAAACCCTAAACCCTAACCCTAAACCCTAAACCGCAAGCAGGATCTGGAGAGCCGCAGGGAGGCCTGTAGGGCTCTTGGAGTGAGGGCCTGAGAACTGCCTGTAAGCGGGGTTGGAGGAGCTGTAGAATCTCAGCATGGGGTTTAGGGTTTAGGGTTTAGGGTTAGGGTTGAAGTTCGGGTACACGTAGCCCTGCAAGTCCCCTCCTTATGGGTTCTGGCCTGCTGTGGCTAGGTACGTTTTTTGAACCCGGAGATGCTGACAAACAGACTAGGATGTAGGGTTGAGGGCTTAGAAACCCTAAACCCTAAACCCTAAAACCTAAACCCTAAACCCGGGTTGATCTTGTCGCGATGAGGAGGAAAAGAAGAGAAGCCCCGTCCCCTGAACCCCTAAGCCTTAGGGGGATTGCAGCCTCAACATGAGAGTCACCGGAACATTGTTCAGAGGCTTACCAGAACTCCCCAACTACCCTCTACTTGTCAGGCCCTAGAAGCCCTAGAACTTAGAAGCCCCGTTAAGGTTGGTTGAGGAGGGGAGGGTCTGGCCACATGCTGCTCTTTATTATGATTCTTTCTTTTTGTTTTATTTGTTGTTGTTTTTTTTTTTTTGGGGGGGGGGGGGGGGGGGGTCCGTTCTTCTTAGAGCGGTGAGGATCGAAAATTCAGGAAGCCGGAATATCTCAAAGAAGGTTGGGGCGCAGGCCTCTAGGCAAGCCGTACACATGCCGAGGTGGAACCACCGGCCGAAGAAGCTGAGGGTGAGGTGCACTGGACCAGGGATCTAGTACCCCCTACTTTGATCCCTATTAGGGACTCTTAGTATAAGCGGGAACATCCCAAGTTCAGGGCGATCTCTTTCTTAGACTTTCAACCAACCCGTGCACTCTGGTCCCTGAAAGCCCCCTGAGAGTAGGAGCCTTTTGAGGTCATGCTGCTGAAGCTTTTCTAGGTATGCCCTTGGGAGATTTCATACTTGCCCTTCTTTGGTTTAAGAGGCTCCTCAGAGGGTTTCAAGGACCAACCTAGTTTCAGTTGGTTCTACCTATCAGGGGCCAAACAGTTGTGTTTGGAAGGGGTTCTAGTAGTACCACTTTGAGAAGCTTCTGGACCTAGCGTGGGGGATGTCGCGATACTTATTGGTTCTTGAGGCAGCGCATGAGGCGCCTTGCAGCCGTCCACGCAACTTATCCATAGCCCCTCAACTCTACTATAGAATGAAGAGCCCATGTAAGGTTCTTTCAAAGGGATTATGGGGACCTGGATGGGTTTAGGGTACCCTAAACCCTAAACCATAAACCCTAAACCCTAAACCCTAAACCGTAAACCCTAAACCCTAAACCCTCCAGCTTTCTAGACAGGACGGTGGCGATGCTCCTGACTTCGGTCGTCGCGCCGACCCCTTGCATGAGGAGGTGGGGATTCCAAGGTACAGGGGCCCCTTTAGGGTTTAGGGTTTAGGTTTAGGGTTTAGGGTTTAGGGTTTAGGGTTTAGGGTTTAGGGTTTAGGGTTTAGGGTTTAGGGTTTAGGGTTTAGGGTTTAGGGTTTAGGGTTTAGGGTTTAGGCATCCTGTTGCAAAAGCCGTTTATAAGGAGGGTCCGAATCTAGAACAGCCACAGGTTCAGGTTTCAGACGGTCTTCTTCCACTAGTGCCTAGTGAAGGAAGCTGGAAAAGTGAGTGGAGATATGAGGGAGTACCCTAAACCCTAAACTCAAGTGGCCACAGTCCTGGCTGCGAGACCCTCGCAAAACCGCTGAAGCGATCGTGGTGGCATCTTATGGGGTTTTGCCCCCGGATCAGCGTCAGATGAGCCCGACACCCACAAGCTTCGCAATTGGGTTTAGGGTCTTGGGTTTAGGGTCTATCAAGGGACTAAAGGAGAGACCCTCATAAGGTTTTTCAGGGTTTATTTAGGGGGCTACTTAGGTATTTCGGGAGTATATACGGTGTATATAGGGGAATAAGTTTAAGGGTCCCTTCTAGGGGTCCTTCCTCATACCCCTTAAGTCTAGGGGTGTAGATGTGTGATTTGGGCTCCTTGCCCAGGTGGCGCAATGTGCAGTGTGCCGGTCCTGGCTTTGTCGCGGTGTTGACGGGATTTAGGGTCTAGGGTTTAGGGTTTAGGGCCTTAGGGTTTAGGGTTTCTTCATCAGCCCTCAAGAACCGGACGCCCAGAAGCCTTGGATGGTTTATTAGGGTCGGCGTCAGAGGGTGGGGGAGGGAGCGCGAGAGATGTAGTCAGTGAGGGAGAGAGAGAGGGAGAAGCAATAACACAAAATGTAACTCAAGAAACAAAAGCAACGAGTCTCCCCCCATGGAAATTTGCGGCGTAGTTTTCAAGAGCTTCCATCCAAGAAGATTTTCTGCCCAGGCAGGATTCGAAATGTAGGCTTTTTGAGGTCTGTAGTTTTCATGCTCACTTGGTTTCGGGCTGAAGGCAGTGTAGGATTGGGCTGCAGATTATAAACCCTAGACCTTGTGCGCTGTTCCGTCGGCTCCAAGAGCACGAGAAGATCTCCGCCGCACCCTTGCCGCCCGCCGGCTGTCAGACTTCCTTCGAAATCGCCATGAAGACACTCGCCCGCTTTGAGGGTCGACCCTGGGATGTTCCCCCTAGTACTAACAATCCGTACGGGGATTATAGTACGCCCTGTTATAATCCCTATCAAGGACTGTTAGTATAAGGGGGAACATCCCAAGATCGACCCCTAAACCCTAATACAAACCCTAAGAACCCTAAACCAAAACTCTTGGGGGAACCCAGGCCTGCTAGGAGTTGCAGGATGTTGGGAGAGTTTTTAATCTTAAGGTTGAGGGCGAAAGAACTTCAACCGTGGTTCTGGACCATTCCACAGGATCACTGAAGTTAAAGGATTCCGAGTGAGGGTCTAGGGCTTAGGGCAGGTTTCAGGACAACCTGGCGAAGGCAGACGAGCCCAGCAGCGAACAAAGGAAGGGATGCAATTGAGTAACAAAAAGCACAGATGTAGAGATAGATAAGATGGACAGCTGTAAGTTGTAAATATACACAGTCAGTGTACACTCAGACATACACACGTACGTAACCTGTGAGTATACGTGGAGGTGTATCTATCTACTTGCTCGGATCGGCAGTAGAAGCAGGAACCCCGAAACTCTCGAACCTGCTCTATTCAGGGTTGAAGGCTCTATGAGCGTTTCCGAAGACAGGGGCACCCTATTAGGGTCCTATTTATAAGGGAAGGGGTCCCTTTCTTCATTTTCGTAAACTCCCGTATGGTTGTGGCTTAACCAAAAAGCGTCGAGGTCACCAAAGAAAGAAAGGGGCGGGGGGTTTAGGGCTTAGGATTTAGGGTTTAGGGGTTAGGGTTTGAGCGCCTGTGAGAGAGAGAGGGGTTAGGGTTTAGGGTTGCAATGGGGGGAGGGGGGGGGGGGGTCCATTTCTCGGATGCGGTGGGGGTCTAGAAGAAACGAGCCAAGGAAAGCCGAAGGCGCAGTGGACATCGACGCGCCTTGGCTAGTTCATGGGTTTAGGCTTAGGGTTCCTGATCGACGAACTGAACTGGGTTGACAACCACAACGAAGCCCCCTAAACCCTAACCCTAAACCCTAAACGCCAAACCCCAAACAAGCTGAAGCAGAGCACACCCTAAACCACACTACGCTGTAGTCTAGGGCTTAGGGTCCTTAACCCTGAACCCTATGAAGCCCCAACCTAAAACCCTAAAACCCTAAATCCCGAAAACCCTAAAACCCTAAAACCCCAAAACCCGAAAACCCGAAAACCCAAAAACCCTAAAACCCTAAAACCCTAAAAACCCTAAAACCCTAAGCAAAATAGCCCTAAACCCTAAACCCTAAACCCTAAACCCTAGACCCTAGACCCTAGACCCTGAACCCTAAACCCTAAACCCTAAACCCAATCCCTGGGCCCTCAACATCAGAGATCCGCCTTCCAGGCCATCGTCGACCAGTGCCTTGAAGTGAAAGGAGGCACAACCTTCTGTTTAGTTAAACCCTAAACCCTAAACCCTAAACCCTAAACCCCCCAAAAAGGATTTTGGGGGAAATGGGTGGTACAAGAAGTGTTCTTGGTGACTTACCAGCTGAACATTCCTGGGGCTGACTGAGAACGCCTGTTGGAAGAAAAGTTGTTCGGCCTTTGTGTGTGGGGATAAGGAGGCCATGCTATGCAACTTGCGTAAGCTAGGGTAGTTTCAGGTTTTGTAGGGTGGGGTTTGCCTATCAAGCACGGATGTCTAAAACCCTAAACCCTAAACCCTAAACCCTAAACCCTAAACCCTAAACCCTAAACCCTAAACCCTAAACCCTAAACCCTAAACCCTAACCCTACCCCCTAAACCCTAGGGTTGAGGGACTTCGAAGCTGCCCGGAAGGCCTAGACCCTGGGCCCTGAACCCCAAGCACCCCCTCTGGAGAAGTGGGGTTTTACGAAAGTATGGGACCCCCAAATATAGAGTAGGATTCTGCTTTAAGAGGGACCCCAATAAGGTACCCCCCCGAATTTCGGAAACCTGCACCCCTAAACCCGACGCCTGAAGCCCTAAACCCTAACCAAGTGAAGCGTGCAGGAAAGCCGGGGAAGTTGGTCAACATCCCTGAAGCGCAGGCCGGGTTTAGGGTTTAGGGTTTAGGGTTTAGGGTTTAGGGTTTAGGGTTTAGGGTTTAGGGTTTAGGGTTTAGGGTTTAGGGGGTTGGCTTCGAAGGGCTTCGGCTCCGAAAAGACAAAGACCCCGGGGCTCCTTGCGCCACTTGCACTAGGATGCCCAGTAGTACCCTTATTCCCTTTTTTTGGGGGGTTTGGGCTCCCTTATAAACCCCTTTAAGCAAAAAAGGGCACCCCTTTTTAGGCCTTGGTTGCTGGGCAGCCAAGTGCAAAGTCTCTCCAAGTTTAGGTTTTAGGGTTTAGTGGCCGGCGACGAACAGAGGCCTCGTTGGAAAAGGGTTTGGGGTTTAAGGTTGACCCTAAACCCTAAACCCTAAACCCTAAACCCTTGGGTTGAAGCTCCCAGCTGCCAAAAGATAAGACTTCCCACCCCTTGATGCCGTGCGCCCAGGGAACAGAGGGGTGGCCAACATCTTCAGTCTTACTGGTTCTTAGTAGAGAATGAGGGAATGAGGTACCCTATATAATCCCTTAAAGGGTCCTATATAATCCCTTTAAAGGGTCCTACATAATCCCTTAAAGGGTCTATGTTGGATTATGTAGGGTGCCTAATTCCCTCACCTTCCCTACTAATTAACCAGGGGTGGCCCCCGTTACACCCAAGGCTTCAGAAGAGTTCTGACTCTCACCCAATAGCTGGGTAGGTTTTGGGATATAGGCTTTTGTACATTTTCCCTTCTTGGGTTCAAGAAGATCAGGTTCAGGAAGATATTTTCAGTGGATTCGAGAGGCCAAACTAGATTAACCCTCTAACCCCCAAAAGCGGCCCCGAGTTCTTGGGTGTGGAGTTGAGGGTTGAGGGCTTCGGGTCGAGAGCTACCTTGAGATTCGCACATCTTTCATGTTGTTTTAGGGTTTAGGCTTTAGGGTTTGGGGTTTGGGGTTTGGGTGGCTCACGGGAGGGTGGGGAGTTGAGGGGAGAGGCCCCCTAATCCCAGCAAGCCGTCAAGTGCCAGAAGAGCTCCAGGTGAAGGGCTTGTGCAGCGCAGCCCGCCAGATTTTTCTGGACCAGAATGTGCCCTGGACGCAATGTTGGCAGGGTTCAGCGTTTAGGATGGGACCGAAGTGTTAGGCCGTCAGAGAGAGTCGTCTTTGACGTTGAGCCCTAAGAACCCTGAGCTGTCGGACAAGTACTTGGGAAGGCTGTCTGGTGTCGGGCATGCGTTCAGCTCTGCACAGCCCTAGAAAAATTCCCTAGGCATGAAGCCCGAAGCCTCAGGGGTTTAGGGTTTAGGGTTTAGGGTTTAGGGTTTAGGGTTTAGGGTTTAGGGTTTAGGTAAGCTCACTGGCACATGATGCGTCATGTCATATCAGGTAAACCGCAGCATTGGCCCAAGTCCCCCAAAAGCACCTGACGCGGCGGATGTTTTCCAGGAAGTCGCAGCCTGATCCGAAAGCCCAACCGAAGCCTCCCGTGCCCGAAAGCATGCCGGCAACCACTGGCACGGAGGCGCGCTGCCCCAAACTCTGAACCCTAAACCCCATAAACCCCATAAACCCCATAAACCCCATAAAACCCCATAAAAACCCCATAAAACCCCATGAAAACCCCATGAAACCCCATAAAACCCCATAAAAAACCCCATAAACCCCATAAAATCCCCGATGAACCCCCTAAACCCCAAGGGCGCTTCGAAGTCCACGTTGCCTTCGGCGATTCGGGAGAAGTGGCGAGCTGGTGTGGAAGCGCGGATCAAGTGTGACGAGGTGTCTCAGGGGTTCCCCCTAAGTAGGGTTCCCCCTACTACCCCCCCCCCCCCCCTAGGTTTCCCCCAGAAGCAAGGGTTATGGGGGTAGCAAAGGCAGGGGGGGGGGGGGGGGGTTAGGGTTTAGGGTTTAGGGTTTAGGGTTTAGGGTTTAGGGTCCTAAACCCCTGAAGGTGGATGCCCTGGTGGCGTCAGGATCCTTGGAGTCAGATTGGCGGGGCGCGTGGCAGGACCGCCAGTGCCAGGTCATTGAAAGATTCTGCATCGCGGCCAACGCCGACGGCTATGAGATCAAGGTGGGGGTTTCTGACCCTAATATAGACCCCCCCAACTAGTAAGATTCCCTTAGAATAAGGGCCGGAAAAAGGTCCCCCCTATTTTCGTAAATTCCCAGGTGAAGTTCAAGGACCAGGGTGATACCTTGCCACCCGAGCTGGCCAAGCACATGGAGAACCTGCTCTCAGCCATGACTGAGGTGGAGGAATTTGAGAAGAAAGGGAATGACATGGCCGCAGACAGCCCGGAGAGTCTGCAAATGTTGAGGTTTGATCTGGTGGAGAAGGTGGAGGAGAAGCTCCAGAAATGCTTCCCGGAGATCTCGCAACATGGCCTTCAGGGCGCGAACCTTCGGGGCTCCGTCCTACCAGGCGTGAACTTGTGTGGCGCGCAGCTCCAGGGAGCCAGCCTTTCT